GAGACCAGCGCTGCCTCACTCTGGCTGAGCCTCCACCCAGCACAGACGCTAATGCACGAATTAATAAACTCTGCACTGATCACACTGATTAATCCCAGCATATGCTCATTACATGGAAATCAGGGGCTGTGTGCCCACTTCAGAGAACACAAGAGCCTCTTAAACCCAAGCACCCGCTGGCACTGTCTGTGCCCAATGATGGAACCACTTGGGATTTCACTTGTGTGTTTTCTTCATGGCTGCAGCGTCTCCGAGGTTTGTGGGCCTCGTCGGGGGTCTCACAGAAGCTGGGTTTAATGAGGCACACCTGCAGCCACAGCACGATCAAACCTCATCCTGAGAATGTCCTCCCGAAGTCAATAGGAGACATTAACCAAGGACAGACAGTGGGGATCACATTATCCAAAAAGCCAGAGATGGAAGGGTGTGTGTGAGTGTGTGAGTGTGTGTGTGTGTGTGTGTGTGTGTGTGTGTGTGTGGACATTGGCCTTAGTAGGCATCATCTGCAGTAACTATTAAACGTCTCTGCAGATGCCCACTAGCATCTACAGCATCTTTAACACACTCCATTCAGAAGTTTGCAATGATTTTTAGGGCAAAATTCTAGGTTTTCTATAGAAAACTCACTGCTCTAGGAGCCAATACCACCCCCTTTCACAGAGCAGAAAACTGAGGCACAGAGAGCAAGGTGCTGCTGACACCCCCCACTGGTGAGGGCCAGCGCTTGGGCTCAGACCTGGCCTCTGACTGGAGCTGAGCTCGTCCTGGGCTCTGCTCTGGGTCCTGCTTGGTTTTCTAGTTCCCAGGTGACTGGAGGAGTCACCTTTATTCTGGACATCGTGGTGCCCCTACATTAGATGGGATAGCTTGTGGGCATCATGGAGATCAGACTGTAAGGGCAAGGCTGTGCGTTGCCATATCCTGGGCACCAGAGGCCAGCCATTGGCTCACATCTCCCTGTCTCTGCCAAGACCTGCCACTCTGGCTCTCTGCCCCTCTCTCTGCGCCAGCTCAATGCCAAGTCAGAGAAGTCTTCTCCACTGCCCATCCACCATGACCCTGTGCAGGCAACGCCTCCCCCTGCTCTCCTTCCACCTGCAGTGCCCCTTCCCATAGGGCCAGTGGATCCCACCACCATGCCTGTGCACCTGCTGGCTCGAAGCTATGCTGGCACAGTGGATGGCACAGTGGATGACATACCTTGTGTCCTGCCTGCACCTTTCTCGAGCAAAGTCTTATCTTCTCAACCAACCTGAAGGCTCTCCAGAGGGCCACTAGTGGATTTTCTACAATTGCTCCCCTGGTATCTGACACACCTGCCCCAGAGCTGGGTACACAGTGAAGACACAGAGTGTGGGTCGGACATGCTCAGCATGACTGCCACTCCTGGGTGCCCTGCCCACCTGGATGCATTATTTGTCACTAGTCCCCGTACAGATCTGTTGTCCCTCACACTTCTCTTAGTTTCAGTTCTTTAGGTTGTTCTCAAGGCTGGTAACTTAACCATGGCACCGGGGGAGTCACTCACCTCTTGGCCTCAGGTTGAGAATGAGGGGCAAGACAGAGTCACGAGTACCCACCTGGGCTCCTCGAGCTTTGTAAAGGGGCGAGGTGCTCCCTGAACACCCCTCCCCATGTGCCAACTCCAAGCTGCGTGGCAGGGTGGGGGGACGTTCAGCTCCAGGAGGCCCAAAGGTGGGAAAGGGAACAGAATGTTGTTTTAATGGAAATTAAGACCATTTAAAAACAATTCAATACTCAGAACAAACAGATGTGAGAGTCCAGCTTCCAACTGTCCTGGACCCTGAAACTGGGCACATGCAGTCTCCATTCCCCAGCCGTGAAGGCAGCCGGGCATCCTCCCCGAGCTTTCTCCCTGCCCCCACACTGAGGATCTCTTTCCCAGAAGCAGAAGAGAGTGACAGGCCCAGCAGCCCTGTGGCAGAGGACAAGGGAAGGGAGCCATAGATATCGATCCCCTCCCTTCCTCTCTGAGCTCTCTGCAGCTGCATGAGGAGCAGGGTCCTCATCTTCTCTGACAGTTCTGTGCTTGTGGTGGAGCAAGTAAGTGGTTCTCAGGAAAAAAAAATGGAAGTAGCTGTTAAATTCAAATCCCCAAAACCAATTACTTAATATATCTAAGGCACTGTGTCTATGGAAAGATTTGGAGGAGACATAAGTGCTTTTAACCAAGATGATGTTCATCAGAAAATTGTTCATTTCCTGAAAATAGAAAGGAAAAGCATCCATCATAGAAAACAGTTTTGTTCAACTTGGAACTTTTTAAAGAAAAAAACAGCCAAGAAAAGACACCAATTATAAATTCATAGCAAGTTTTTTGCCAAAAATTAAACTTGTCTGGGTATCTCCCAACAGATGGATGGCTACACAGATGGTAGTATTTCCACACCACGGAATATGCCTGGGGATTAGAAAGACTTGGAATGTTGCTACAAACAGCTTGGAATCTCCAGGGAATTCTATGGAGTGAAAACTCTAACCCCAAGTAGCCATATATTTTGTGATTCCATATATATAATGTTTTCTAACTTAAAAATATTAGACAATGAATGGCTGAGAGGAACTGGGGAAGGCAAGAGCAATGGGGATGGTGGGAGAGAGGTGCTGAACAGGCAA